CAAAAACAAGAGGACAAAACTCCTATGCTTTCAAATTCAAATTAGACAAATTGTACAAAAATAAAGAAATGACTCAATTGTGAAAAAATAAAGTTCTTTAAAAAGCACTTCAGAGCACAGCCCTCTCTGTTCATTTGGTGTTCCTTGTTCAGGGGTGTGATTTTAAGCTTACTCTTTTGTATCAAATTTTAAACATGTTTGAGTTTCTGTACGACGTATTTGAGGAAATTTGATTTATAATTTCCTCTCTCTTATTAATATGGTTTCTAAGTGATTAATTATTCATTTTTTGGACCTGTGTGCTGATGGTCTCTGTCGACCTTGGGGCAGTGTTATGTAGACCCTGAGGGCTGCAGGGAGATGTTAACCTGTCAGCCAGGCCAGCGGGGCACCGGCCCACCAGATTGACCCTGGGCAGGGGGCACGCTCATGCCCTCCATTGGAATCTCTAACTCTGATTGGTCAGGAAGGAGCAGAGGGTCCCTGGAGCTGCTGGGAAAAGCAGTTTCCCTCGCCCCTTGGCGGCTGGTTCATCCCCAGTCAGCAGGGTCTAAGAACACACAAGGAATTTATTTTACGTGAGGAGACAGACAGCTAGTTGAGCTGCGTCCTACGCCTCTGCCTGTGGCTGAGCTCAGGGTGCCATTCTTTTCCAATCCTGCCAACTCCTGCTGCAGAGTCCTGGCTGAGCCCAGCCAAGCAAACGGGGAGGCGGTCCTCTGAGAAAGAGGGTTCTAAGGGGGTGGGAGGTGCTGGTATGCTGAGCTGTGGAATAGAAGCGCCCAGTAAACATTCACTGGGCGCCCATAGTGTGGAAGGCATTGGTGTGGGTGCCGGGGACGCGGGTGGGTGTCAGGCAGCCCTCCCATGACGGCCTGTTCTTGTGGAGATCAGAGTGGTCGCACATGGGTGGCCCTGCAGCGGGGCCTCTGCCTGGGGACGTCAGGGAGAGCTGTGAGGAGAGGCCATCTCTGAGATGAGGTCTGCGGAATGACGGCTCCAAGTGAGGAAACACAGGGAGGGGGTGGCAGGGGCATTCCTGACGGAGCTCCAAGGACCTGCAGAGGCACGAAGTCCTGGGAAGCCAGGATGTGGCTGTGGTTGTGCAGAGGCGGCCTGGTACAGCTGCAGCACGGGGAGTCTCAGAGGGAGGGGCCAGACGCCAAAAGCCCTCTGTGGCCGCTGGAAGGTGTGCAACCTGTCTAAAAGGAGAGGCTGGTGTGGTCAGTACCCCTTTGGAGAAGCTGCCTCTGGTGATATTGGAGAATGGATTGAAACTGGAGAGTGGCTGGGGGGGGGCAGGGAGAATCACACAGGTGCATGGATTATCAACGGGGAGAATCACACAGGTGCGTGGATGATCAACGGGGAGAATCACAGGTGCGTGGATGATCCAAGGGGAGAATCACAGGTGCGTGGATGATCCAAGGGGAGAATCACACAGGTGCGTGGATGATCAATGGGGAGAATCACACAGGTGCATGGATGATCAATGGGGAGAATCATACAGGGGCATGGATGATCAATGTTGACGACTGGAACTAAAACGGGGGTGTCAAGTCAAGGTACTGGGTTTGAGATGAAATTATGAATTAGAAGCGAGTGGGCTTAGGAAATGGGGCAGGGAAGTGAGAGGCTGACTGAAGTTTTGAATTTAGAGAGCCTGGAGACGGCTGTGCTGTGAACAAAGGGAAGGCAGGGAGGAAGCGGGTTGGCTTAGTGACGAGATATGATTCCAAATTGGGAGCCTGGACTCAACCCAGACGACAGAAACACAGCAGCTTCCCGGATCTGAGCCTCCCTGAGCGTGAGCTCCACGCCCGACAGAGCCTAGGAGGCGTCGGTCTTTTCTGTATAGTGGAGAGAAGGACGGTGTTCAGCAAGGGCTATGTTTTTCCAACAGAAACTTAGGGTTTAGAGCAATTATAGTTTCACAGAAATTTGGAAAGACAATACCTTAATTTTCCGTATGTGCCCTACCACATTTCTCCTCTTTTAGCAGCTTAAATTGCTATGATACATTTATTACAATTAATGAACCAACAGTGATTCATTATCACCAGGTTCCATAGTTTATTCAGACTTGCTCAGTTTCAACCTAAAGTGCTCATTCTGTGCCCGGACCTCACCCAGAACACCACTTCATAGTTAGTCATCATGTCTCTCCAGGCTCTTCGCGGTTGTGACACTTTCTCAGATTTTCCTGGTTTTTTGGTGACCCGGTCGGTCCCGAGGACTCAGCCCTCAGGACCTGTGTGGCGTGTGCGGTTAGGATTGTGGATTTGGGGCAGAAGGACTGCAGAGGGAAGTGCTCTTCTCATGACATCATATCAAGGGTGCACGCTATCCACAGGGGGCACAACTCCTGGCGCCCACTCTGGTCACCCGGCTAAGGCGGTGTCCGTCAGGCTTCCCCCTCTCCGTGCTCCTGGTGAAGGCCGGTGTGCAGCTCACAGTGGGGGAGTGGGGAGGCAGGCCCCGTCTCTTGAGGGGGGAGTATTTACATGAGGTGTTTGGACTTCTTCAGAGGATAACTGTCTATTCTCTCCCACTTGTTAACTTATTCAGTAATGTATTTCTATCTGTATGGACTCAGGAATTTTTATTTTATAATGTGGGCTATACTCCAATTCTACTTAATTCATTTTCTTGTTCAGATTGCTTTAGCTCTGCCATGGGGAGCTCTTGGAGTTGGTCCTCTTCTAGTAAAGGAGAACTTGTAAGCACGTCTTGCATGTTGGTGCTGTGCTCAGTGCTGGCAGGAGGGCTGGGAGGCCGCCATAACAAGCCCTGAGGTCTCTTGCAGGGAGGCAGAAGTTAGGAGGCCCCAGAGATCTGAATGCTCAGCAGGGAATTTTGGGTCACTCTGTGTAGTAATTGAAAGGTCCTCTGCAATCTTTAGCATAGGAGAGACATGATGAACAGTGTGTTGGAAGATCACTTTGGAAACTCAACGAATTGCATAGTTTCACTCATTCATTCATTCAACAAACCCTTATGGAAACCCTAGTCCGCCATCTGCTTGGGAGTGAGGGTGGAACATGATGGCAAAGAAAACTAACTTTTACTGAGCACCTGTGGTGTGTGGTGTATTACACATTGCTTTCGTTTAATGATCACAGCAACCCAATGAGATAAATATTGCTTTCAACATTTTACAGAGAAGGACACTGAGTTTTGGAGAGGATCAGTAACTGTCGGAAGGCTATGCTGCTAGAAACGGGCAAAGCTGGGGTTGGAACCTAGACTTATCTTATTCCACATGAGGTTGGGTAAGAATTTTTTTTTTTGCTGCTACTTTCATTGAGAAGTAGAGTCTAATTTGCCTCCCTGGGATCTGGACTGATTTTGTTGACTTAATTAGACTTACCTGAATTCAGTAGAAGAGATGTTCTGGAACTTACAAAGGCTAGATCAAAGGAAGACTAAAGTTTCCTCTCAGGCCTCTTAGGATGCATGTGTTGGGGGGAGCCATATGCTCTGAGACTGCCATGCTGTGGGGGATCCCAAGCTAATCATGTGGAGAGCTCTGCCCAGTTCCCAGCTGTTCCAACAGTCTTAGTCCAGGGACCTGAAATGTGAGTGAGGAGGCCTTCTGATGATTCCAGTCCAGCCAGCATCTGACTGCAATTGCATGAGAGATCCTGAGAAAGAACCACCCAGTTGAGCCGAAACTACCTTCAGAACCATGAAAGATAACAATGCATTGTCGTGTTAAGCCACAGAGTTATGGGGTAGCAGACAGCAAGACATGCTGGCACACCACCAAACAGATGTCCTTTCTCTGTACTGCCTGGTCTTCAGTAGGCCTGTGGCTCTGACAGAGCCTAGACTGAGGCAAAGAACATGACAGACCATCACATTAATGTACTGAGAACACTGTGAGGGCCTGTCCGGATCTGGGTGGTTGTGGACAAGAAGAAGAGACAGAACTGGGGGTCATCTTAAGAACTTTCCTTAGAGTGGAGGATGGTAGGATTGCATGAGAGGTTGCCAAGGGGGTGGGGGGGAGAGGACAAGACAGGCAGTCCTGAATAGGCAACTCTACCTTCTCACTTCCTAGATGTCTTACTGAGCAAATTACTTTAACTCTCCAAGCCGGAGCTTCCTTATCTTTAAAGTTCAGATGATTTGATGACAATAATAACAGATGCACTGGGTAGTAGCGGGTACTCAATAAATGTGTTCTCACAGCTTTTTAATCACCTCTCTTTTATAGCACTGTTACATTGCACTTGAATTGTATATTTTCTAATCTTTCTCCCAAATAGACTATGAGATTCCTTGGGGAAATGAGAGTATATCATATACTTTTATATTCTTGGTGACTAACATAGTCAGCAGAGTAGTGATTCAAAGTGTTGCTGAATGAAGGAAGGAATTGCTATCAATGAGTTGTAAAGCCTCATTGTGGTGGAGGAATGAAAGAAGGGTAACCAGCCTATTTGGGTAGGAGGTCAGACTTTGGTTAACCTGGGAAACCCAGGCACAAAGGGTTATAAGAACAAGAGAGAATCGATTAGTTGTGACAAATGCAATGCTAGGTCATAAAAAAGTTTCAGTGGAGTCTTGGTGAATACCAGATCAGGTGTCTAAGACAGAAATGGGCGCACCAAACACCTATCATCTCTTACAACTGGGCCAATGGGACATGATCAATTTTTACCACTTTTGGGGTATATCCTAAAAGAGGCATCTTACATATTCCCTTGGTCCTTTCCCCTTCCCGCTGGCTGGAAGATGATGGGGACTGAAATGAGAGCCTCAGATCCCAAGATGGAAGCTGCATTTTAAAGACGGCTGAGTCTCCCTTATAACCTTGGACTTGCAGATTGTAATGGAACACACAAATGCAACAGTAATCAGATCCTGCCATTGCCAATTATTATGTGGCCTTGGGAATGTTACAGTTTCACAAAGAAAGTGGTTTAGAGGTTAATGACCCTTTAGTTCAGTTTGTGTTTCTTTGGATCTCTTTATTATTGCAGCTCAGCGCGTGCCCCAGCTGAACCAAGAAACTAAGAAACAGGCTAAGAGGGAGCCCAGTTTAAATGGAATGGAGGGGGAAGCAAATCTCTAATGAGGAGGCATCCACCAGCTGGAACGATCAAAGAGTGAGCATTCTGGGTAGAAAAAGCAGCATATATGAAGCCCCTCCTGAGAAAAAGGCCTTGATAAATTTGAAAATCAAACTCATAGATATAGAGAACAGAATGGTGGCTGCCGAAGGGAAGGTGGCTTGGGGATTGGGCAGAATGAGCGATGGGGTCAAGTGGTACAAACTTCCAGCTATTAAATAAATAAATACATACATACATAATAAATAAATAAAATTAAGATATGTAAGTCATGGGGATGTAATGTACAGCGCGCTGACTGTAGTCAATAATATTTTAGTGCATATTTGAAAGTTGCCAAGAGAGTAAATCTAGAAGGTTCTTATCACAAGAAGAAATTTCTAACTGTGTATGTAGTAGATGGTAACTAGACTTGTTGTAGTGATCATTTCCTGGTGTATATAAATACTGAAACATCATGTTGCGCACCTGAAATGAATATAATGTTATATGTTAATAAAGCCTCAGAAAAATAAAAATAAAAACAAAAACATCCTAAAGGAAGCAACATGCTTTACAGAAGACTTCCCAGGGGGATGTGTACCGACTAAGGTCATAGGATATACAGTGTTACCTTGCAAATGGTAGATAGCTAGCAAATCATGTTCGATTAGTGAAATAAAACATTTTAGTGGTGAAAACAGAGAGAAGGGCTAAATAGATTTGAAGAACAGAAAGTAAGGAGTGTGGGAGGAGGTAGGGGAGGAAAGATAGGGGGTAACCTAAGGAAAATAGGAAGTTTTTGAAGGGCTTTCAGTGCTGAGGTCATATGGCCTGATTTCTGTTTCCAGAAGGTCCTGTGACTCTTCCGGAAGGACTGGGTTGATGACGGAGACCACTGAGCCCCAGCTGGACGTCACGGCAGCCAGTGCTGGAGGTGGAGGTGGCTTTGCATCCTGTTTTGAAGGCGGACTTATGGGCCTCTTTGATGCAGAGGACAGGTGTCACAGAGCAAGGGCGCCTTAAAGATGATCCTCAAGCTTTGAGAGGAAGACAAGCAAGAGGAGAATTGGCCGAGGAAGACCGAGTGTTCAGTTTCTTTTGAATGTGGTGCATCAGAAAGAGACATGAAACCAGCATTCAGACCCTGTCATTGCCAATTATTACGTGGCCTTGGGAATGTGATAATTTTACAGACAAAGAAAGTAAGGCTTAGAGGTTAAGAAACATAAACTCAGCATTTGGAACTTAAAAATCCAGGGAGGTAACATGCCATAGTAGAAAGACAATGTGCTGTGGGGACAGATGCTCAGTTATATTATTACCTTATTACATGACCTTGACAAAGTCATTAAATGTTTAGAACTTCAGACTTCTCATACAGGAAAAAAAAAGGGAAAGGAAGCCTTTTCATATAGATTTAAAGTGATAAACTTGATAAAACATAGGAAGTCTTCTGGCATAATAAGTGATGAATAAATGCATGCTGTCCTTATATTGCTCCAAGTTGTTTTCTAGTTGAAACTTAGACTGGGTGTTCAATATGTGTGGAGATCAAATAATCTAGTCCTTTTTTATGTCAAATCTCAGAAAGAGGGGAGGCTGGGGGGCAAATCCAAGCTGTTTCGCCTGAGGCACTGTAGTCACGCAGTGACCCTTGTTCTCCGTTGGTCTGAGGGCTCAGACGGGGGGTGAGTCCCCAAAGGATGTTTAACTTGGACTCCATGACTCATTGGTTAACCTGTTCTGTTTTGTGCTTTTCTAGAAGGTACAAGCGACCTTCTGGAAAAGTTATTCTCAAGCTCTAATAGTGAGATGTGAATGCAACTTCAATAGATGCCACCATTTCTTAGTTTTTCTCATTTATAGAAATTCCACCCAACCTCCTGGACATTTACTCAAATGTGGGGAACTGGTCTGCGCCTGAAGCAAGAATACTACTTTCAAAGTAAAATGACTAAATAATTAACAAGGGTACCTACTCTGAGGTGAAATTTGTCTAAGGCATTGGGATTAGCACTCTGAGCGATGCCTAAGGTGTATCATGGATATTTGATGAAAGTGGTCGGTCAGCCCTGTGATTTTAAAGTCATCCAGTGACCTGGAAATTCTGAAGGAAGGTTTTAGAAAAGAGCTTTTTTCCCTTTGTCATCTCAGAGTGTGCTGGATTGTGCAGAATGGATTCCTTCTGTACAATCGCCCACAGGAGATGTCCTTCATCTTAGGGTGACAGGGGAGGGAGGGGTGGACGCTGAGGTGACCAGGCATTTACCTGCAGCTTGGGGCGAGAACCTGCCCCAAGACGAGGAGATGGTGCACAGTTTAGATGGAAACTTTTAAAGCTCAACACAGGACACTGGCATGGTGGAAATTTGCCTACTTACTGGTATAATTTGATTCTATTGGGAAATGGGGATTTGCCTTTTACCAAGTGTTGTCTCTATCAGAGCATTAGAATGGATTCCTTCTGCTTCTCCTTAGGCATGAATCTTGCACCTGTGATGGGGGTGGGGAGAGTTGAGTTTTCGATATGCCGGGTATCACTCCACGTCTCATTTTCAGGGCCAGGTTTAAGCCATTCCCAAGCAGAACGCCTGCCAGGTATACCCATGTCTATGTGTAGTTACTTGAAGAGGGAGACACAAGGAGCAGAAAACTGCTCTTTGTCACTTTTATTATTTGAAAAAAGAGTAGCTTACCAAATCGAGAGAAATGGCATAAGACTTACTCATGCAGAAGAGAAATTCCTTTCTTTTATCCTTTGGACTTATTCTTTGGTACAAGTAGATCATCTATAGGTTAAAATAATTACGAAACTTGGAATGTATCCAATGAGTAGTGGGTGATTACAAAGTTGCTTTGTTTAATTATGAAGCATTTTACAGGAAGGTGTTTTTAACTTTGGTCATTAGCTCCAAATGGAAGGAGACACAGCTCTCCATTATAAGTATCATAATTCTAATTGTATCTAAGGTTTACTTAGAAGCAATTCATTTTTAAAGACATGCTCTAATTTGTGTAATTTCTTTTTAGTAGGTAAAAATTGCTGAAGTAAATCGGTCTGTGGTAGCGAGAGTACACCAAGAGGAGCTGCTTGTTACCAGCCTGCTCTGCTGTGCAGATTTCCCCAGCCCAGCCCTGGCTGACACGGACTCGGCCAGTTCATTTCTGAAACATGAGGCAAAGCCTTATGTGATCAAGTGGCTCATTAGAAAAGATCAGGACACTTCTTTTAGAGAAGATAAAGTACGCTTTAAAAATCAGAACTAATGTCCTGTATTTGAAAAGGAGATCAAAGTGGACATCACGTCCAGAAGATCCTTTGTATGTATTATCCTTCTGTATCAGAAGTGACTTTCATTGACATTCATGTATCTACTAGTGATAGATTAAACAGTTAAACCACCACATTCATTCATGTTGAATGAATTAATTCATTCAATATAATTATTTGATGACTTATGTGAAAGGTAACATCAACCCAATACTTCATATAGTGTCTTTTATCAATACATTTGTCTTTAAAATGCAACTACTAAGGCAGTAATTTCAAGCAAGAATCGTGATACCTTATCTGTTGTCTTGGGGATGGACTACAATATAATTATATATTATAAATATATTTATATATTATAAAAATGTAATATTAAAAATAGAAAATGTATTAAATGCATAAAGGTTTTATAATGTGAATTTAACTAAATTCAAACTTTTATGAGTACCTTATACATAAGGTACAGGGCCCCACAGAGGGAGTTCTTCCACGAAGAGTAAGACACGATTGTGTCCTTGAAAAGCCCTTGGTCCAATAGGAGGGATAATATATGCAGAGCGATGATGCTCTAAGAGCTGTAAGAAAATGAGAGACAAGCTGCTCCATGAAGACAGAGATGCGAGAAGTTCCTCTGTTCAGGGACCTCAGGAAGTAGTTCACGTGGAGGCAGCTGAGTGAGGCCTTGATGGGCAGGTTTGAAGCGTGTGGACGGAGGAAGAGCATCCTCCATGGGCAGCACTGTGGGCGAACCTGGAGTGAGGACGGGAGCAGCAACCAGGTCGGCCAGCTGGGGCTAACTGATGCGCGAGGGGCATCAGAGTGCATGGGGGGGAAGGTGGAAAGATGAAACGGCAGGATGTGATGGTCTTCAAGTGGGTCACCATGGCAGTTGGCTCACATGATTTTGGAGGCTGAGAAATCCCATGTTTTGCCATCTGCAAGTTGGAGAACCAGCAAAGCGTGGTTCCTGTCAGATTCCAAAGGCCTTGGAAACAGGAACACTGATGTCTGATGGTGAGAGAGAGTAGATGCTTTAGCTCAAACAGAAGCCAAGTTCACCCTTCTGCTTTTTTCTTCCAGTCAGGCCCTCCATGGATTGCACAAGGCTTCCCACCTGCATTACCGAAGGTGACTCAGTCTACGGATTCTAATCTCTTCCAGAAATACCCTCACAGATACACCCATAAATGCTGTTTCCTCAGCTATCCGGGCATCTCTTAGCCTAGGGAAGTTGACACATAAAATTAACCATCAAAGAAAGTGAAGACCTGAGTTTATAGTCCTATTTATTAACATCCAAATTCATATGGATGTCATTTACCATTCAGAATCTTAGCTTTCTCATTTCTAAAAGGATATCAAATTAATTTCTGGCTGCATTGTCAAAATAATTTACACAGAATAGTTTATGCTGCAACAATAAATAATAAAAGTGATTAAAAAAATAAGAATTACCATTTCCTAACATCCAGTCCAGGTTGGTTCTGTGGGGTGGCAGTGAAGCGAGTGAGGGCTCTGCTGCAGGATAGTTTTGATATACCCCATCTTGGGAGGCCATTATCTTTAACACATGTGCCCCAAGTTCATTTCACCACAGAAAGGAAGAGAAAGAAAAGGTGTGGGAGATCCTGTAGGGACCAGGCCTGGAAATAAACTACATGTGTTTACATTTCATTGGCAGGAACTAGTTGAGTTGCATGGCTCTATCTAGATGTCAGGGGTTGTAGAAGTTAAATCTTTGGTGTGCCCGGGAGGAAAATGAATAACAGATGTGATAGGGCTGGGCTAATACAAATCACTCTTCAACATGTTAGTTTTTCAGTCTAGAAAGATATATTGTGGCCAAGTTAGCAGTATCTATATAAATTAAGGAATTTATAATTTACTTCACAGGTTATGGGGTGCAACTAAAAGCTTTTGAAGAGGGGAGTTATCTAAACACATTTGTGTATTAGGATTGAACAACTCCCTGTAGGCTGGTGATCCTGGGGAAAACTAGACAATCGTCTTTTGGTTCTGAGCAGCTGTAGAGCCTGGACTAGGGCTGGAGTTGAGGTAATATCAGGGAAGCAGCATTTCAGTGGATTACGATCTTTTATTAGTCTTTGTATCAGTGGTGTCTTCCGCAGAGCTAGTAGTATAATCTGTATTAAATAAATATCGCTGAGTGAATCAGCAATGACTTGGTGAACAGATGAGTGAGTGAATTACACTCTGTAGAACAGCTAATTTTATATATGATTGTCTTCTCACATTGGTCATAAATTCATTGAGGCTGAGAATTGTTTGTTTGCGTCTTTCTGTAGGAAAGGTCGTAATGCGAGCCTAAGAAGCACAAATAGTGCAGGGCTGTGCATGCCAGTGTGTCCTTCTACATGCAGATTGGTGACAAGGAGCTTGAAGCTGAGGACTCTCCTGGCTGCACCAAGACTGGCATGTGCACAAATGAAGGAACAAAACCCACAATCCGGGGAGACATGGGAATCTTTCAGAGGTGGGGACAGCAAAGTTGCCTATGAGGTTTAAAATATTTTATTGACTTGAGCATAAATTTCAAACTTCTTGGCATGACATTTTAAATAACAAACTATTACTTTTTAAAGTCCAGAGATTATATGAACTAAACACTACTTACTACAAGAAGCTCCAAGAATTGAATATTGTAAAACTCCATTCATGATTTTTACTAAGGAAGACTATGACAAAAATGTTTGCTTTTCAATTTAAATACAAAATCTAAATAAACAGAATATTGTCTATGTTTACTATTGTGTTTGGTTTAATTAATTTTTTTATATAATCCTCAGGATTTCAGTAATTTAGTAATTGTCGCTGGTAAACCATTTAAACATTTCTTTTGTATTTCTCTGTTTTTCTAATGAACATTTTTATCTGAATAAAAGGGAGTGGTGGTAGAGAATTCCATAGAAATCAGCAAATGTACTGAAAATTATCTGATATGGTAAGGATGGCAACCATCCCAAAGACAAACAAAAAACAAATGTTGGCGAGGTTGTGGAGAAAGGGGAACCCTCCTACACTGCTGGTGGGAATGTAAATTAGTTCAACCATTGTGGAAAGCAGTATGGAGGTTCTTCAAAAGCTCAAAATAGAAATACCATTTGACCCAGGAATTCCACTTTTAGGAATTTACCCTAAGAATGCAGCAGCCCAGTTTGAAAAAGACAGATGCACCCCTATATTTTTCGCAGCACTATTTATAATAGCCAAGAAATGAAAGCAACCTAAGTGTCCATCAGTAGGTGAATGGATAAAGAAGATGTGGTACATATACACAATGGAATATTATTCAGCCATAAGAAGAAAACAAATCCTACCATTTGCAACAACATGGATGGAGCTAGAGGGTATTATGCTCAGTGAAATAAGCCAGGTGGAGAAAGACCAAATGATTTCACTCATATGTGGAGTATAAGAACAAAGAAAAACTGAAGAACAAAACAGCAGCAGAATCACAGAACCCAAGAATGGACTAACAGTTACCAAAGGGAAAGGGACTGGGGAGGATGGGTGGGAAGGGAGGGATAACGGCGGGGAAAAAGAAAGAGGGCATTACAATCAGCATGTATAGTGTGGGGGGGGGGTATGGGGAGGGCTGTGCAACACAGAGAAGACAAGTAGTGATTCTACATCTTACTACGCTGATGGACAATGACTGCAGTGGGGTTTGTGGGGGGCACTTGGTGAAGGGGGGACCCTAGTAAACATAATGTTCTTCATGTAATTGTAGATTAATGATAACAAAAAAAATTATATGATATGGTTATGTCACTTACAAGATGAAAAGTTATTAATTGATTCAATGAATATTGGTTAATGTCTTCCATGTGATAACACTATGCTAGGGGTGGGAATCAGTGGTGAACTTACAGACCATTGAGAGCCACCACATTGAATCTTTGCTCTTCAATTGGTTAAAGCAGATAATGGCAAAATCTTTCAAATACTTTTGCCCATGAGAGGTTTCAGTGTGGGAAATACTAATTTTTCCTACAACGTGAAGTAAATGATATTTACGTCTATATTGTAGCATGTGCTTGTAACTGATTAAACCATCATTTTAGCTACAAGGTGGCCAACAATCAAAGGCTATCGTCTTAATTTTACCTGGCATCCTAACTCTTTTAGTTTAAGGGTTGAAAGAGCTCACATAGGTATTTCCAAAATATGTGTGTGTGTGTGTGTGTGTGTGTGTGTGTGTGTGTGTGTGTGTGTATGTATATGTATACAATATATATGATATATATTTCTACATTAAATAGTATAAGCATGCTCTGCCTATATTGTAGGAATATTTTCAATGTCCTAGAATGTAATAAAACTCTAAGTGAATTCTTTGACAAAGTAAATAATGTTTGAATTGTATAAGGTAAATATCAAACCTCCTGTGCTCTATTTTGAGATATATAAATAATGTGATACTATATATGTAATGTGAATTGATGTTGGAACAGTTTAGCCAACTAGAGATGAGAATTTAACTTAAATGCTTAGCTTTTCATGTGCAATCAATAGAATGATTTATTAATGTGTAGGACATTGAAGTACAGGACAGATGCACATAAGCCATATGGAATTTCACTTTTTTTTGGGTAATGAAGGTTTAGGACCACAGAATCCTAATCCCATGAATACATTTTAAAAGCAAACCTAGGCAAAGACTAATTTTATTCAATTATAATCTCATTTATTCACTTATAATGCTATAGTGATTTTTAAATGGATTCATCAAACACTACTCATATCTGGAGGAGCAGAATAATGATTCTGGGAAATGTTAATCAGGGTTCTCTAAACAAAGGGTATCTGATTAGATTATCTTGCGCTAGGCTGTATGTTAAATTTCCCCTTTGATGTCTCAAAATATTTATTGCCATGTTAAAGTATTGAGAAAGTCCTCAGTGAAAAAAAAAAATCAGAACAAAACTGATTGAACTTTGCTTGCAGTTAACAAACTAACTTGATTATGCAAAGAAAGCCTATTTTTCTTGGCACAACAGATAACACTATACGCAACAGTGTTGTTTTTTTAGCATTAGTTCTGCACTAGTTCTGCACTAGTTTATTCAGACTATAGTTAATGTTGTAAAAAGTTTTATCTCAAACTGGATCTTAAGGCCAAACTGGTTACGTTGATCTAGTTTCATGACTGTGTGCAAAACTCTTGATGGTCATCCAGCCAGTTTGTTCTGCTTGAATTTTCCTGAGTGTTGTGAGTGTAGCTCCTCGTCCTCCCATGTGTTCTGTGCTGTATCTTCTGACTTGCATGACACTTGAGTGTCAGAAAC